GGCCATCCACTTAAAAGCTAGGCTTGATGATCCTTGTGTAGGAGACCTAGTAGATCTCCTCCTACTAAGAACATTCTAGGAAATCAAAAGAACTCCTCCTACTGTGAAACTACATGGCTGGTGACAGCCTGGCTGCCAGGTTCTAGCTCACCAGTACATGCAATTTCCTTTGTGAAGGAACTGCGGCAAAGCAGAGATGGAGGAAAGACTGGGAAGTGTTTAGTAGGCACTAAAGCAGGACTACCAAAAAGCCAAACAAGGTACTTCCACATTGGCTAAGACTCGATTTGCCATGGGCCTCTTCAATATTCACAGGTTATTTCCAACATTCTCACAAGCCAGTTGGGTATGAAGGGAAAAATCCTGTTTTCCTCTTCCCGCCCTGACAGGAGCTGCAAGGGAAGACAAGATGCCTTAAAAGTTACAGGCATCTTCCACTAACTTATAGCACAAATCCCTGTGCACACTTCCAATCACACTTCCATTTAATTTTGCTCTTGGTGAAAGAAAAAGGTGGAAGTGAGGCAGATTGTTTAGTCATGCTGCTTATACATGAACAGTGGGATTTATGCAGAAAACATGAGATGGAGGGAAAATCTGAAGAGTAAAAAACCCCTAACAAACACCTAATAAAAGTCACATCTATGATCTGTACATGTGTTATATCTGGTCTTTACTAGTGCTAGCCTTGAGCATTGGGCACCTATTCCCTCAGGTACCTGTACAAAAGGAAAAGGTTCTGACATTGGCTTCTTGACATTGTGGGGTAATAAAAACAATAATTTCTGTATGGCAGATACTTTTGTATAAGCTCTTCCTTCAAGTTCTAATGAATCATCATGAAATAAAGTCCTCAATTTATAGGAGAATTATGCCACAGCACATTTGGTGTCTGTAGAGTGACATGTCCTACAATGAGACCTCTGAATGCAGAGAGTTCAAATACCTTTTCATTCCACCAGCTTTATTAGATTACTTTTTCTCTTTCACAAGTTTGAATTCAGAGTTGTGCTCTAGATTTCCAAATTTGTAGGAAGGCATAGCCATTTTAAACTGAAAAGCCCATCAATCTGCAATTCCCATGTGGCTGGAGTAAAATCTTTTTTATTGTACATTACCTGGCGGATCCTTGATCAAGGACAACTGGAAACCAGTTTATGTTATACTGAATTTCTTTCAGATCTTCCCACCACACAAACTATCATCACAAACTGTTATTAAGAAACATGAGAATCTTGATGTTCAAATGCACTATACAATTGCTGCTGTGAAATACATACTTCCTATTTTGCATTTTCTGGTTCTCCCACAATATTTCCAATTTAGGGGTAAAAATTCTCAAATCTGAGTTTCTACTTCAGATTCTTCAATTTCATTGTCAGTAGTAAGCATTAAATATTAACTATACCTTGTCTTCATACTCTCTGCTTAAACTAAGAATTTAGCACTTCGTTTTTTATTATATTAAACTCTGTGTTAAAAGATGAGCTACTACTAATTTCAATAAATTCCCGTCCAAATTCTGAATAATCTGTAAGTTTTCATGGAACAAGATTAAGAAACTTATCAAGATGCCTAAATACAGATACTACATGACTTCTACTTTTTATAAGCAGACTTAGTGACATAAGGAAGCCCTCCAACTCAATCACATTTAAGAATCCTTTCCTCTCAGCTTCCAGTTTACTCTCCCTCTCACCTTAACAACTGTTTCATTTCCCTGCATATGTATTCAGATGTCCCTGTTCATTATAAACCATTTTGCTGCTCTTTCTAAAAACAATAAATGTAATACATAAATTGTTCTGATAGCAGTGGGCAGTCAGACTGACTGCTGGAACAGTTCATCTACTGAGCTGCACCCTGAAGAAGAGGAACAAGTAGAATTAGAGATGCTGTCTAAAAGAAGAGTTGTCTGATAGTCCTAAAATTTATCTCCTCCTGAATTTCACTACTTACTAACACACTGCTCTTAGAGAAATTAAATTATTCCTATTAAACTGTCCACAACAGTCCTCACTTGATCTGAATTTTTAAAGCTACTAGTAATATCTCCATGAGACCTTAGCTTCTATGGCGAGCATCTGATAACTCATTGTACTAATTCTTTTTGCTCCTTTAGCTAATTCCAGAAAAGGATGCTAATTCCCATTGGTTAACAAAACACGCTAATCAAACCCAGCATCATAGAGTAATATAACTCTACACACATATTCAGATACTCTAAATTTTAAGTGAGCCAATCAAATAAAATACATTGATCAAATGAACTCATTCTAAAGGAAAACAATCAGATGTTTGAATAGACTAAGATGATGTTAATTCAACTTACTATTCAAATAAAGTCAATATAACTGAAAGCAGTTCAATAATATAATTGTTTTCAGTCAGCACCTTTTTTATCCCTAAATGCTTCAGCAGTGATTCCCCATTCTCTGCCAACATAAACACTGGACAAAGTCATCTGGAATGTGGCACTGGACTTACTTTAAACCCATTAAGATTAGATAGCATTGAAAGCTTACATGAAGATGCAAAAGAAAAGACAACTAGTGAAAAGTTGTTCACTTCTTTCTGTGAAAGTGCTACACATGCTGCATTACTGACCATTTTAGCTAAAGAAAATGCAATAATCAAATAATAGCATTCTAAAGGCCACAGTTAAATGATATTGACTTAATAGCACAGAATTAGAGAGATCCACATCCTACAGTGCAATATTACACAACCATGCATATCGCCAAGTAGAAGAAAGTTGTAGCTCACTTACTATATTCTGCTTTTCCCTGTTTTACAATGAACATACTTTCCCCCCACCAACAGGTCATCAGCATATCTTATGAGAAACCAACCATAAGCAAATCAGGTAGATAATCCAAGCAATATTCATTTATGTGCTGAGTGAAAGGAATCTTTCTTCCAGTAACACAAAGCCTCGTTCTGCAGGTGGCTGTAGAAATGCAAGTCCACTACCTGAACACCTATGATCTTCTCCTTACCCAGCAGAAAAGCAACAAGCCTGACTTAAATTATGGCAGTCCCTATACATACAGTATCCGTGGTTAGCAAGCTGAAGCACTTCTGAAAACAAGTCTAATCTTTTGGAGAGAAAGATCACTTGACAGCAGGAACTGCAAACAGTTCTACCACACATATACACTGAAGGGGTGAATATCAGATATCTGCAGGTAGAGGAGAACAGTGGGGAGAGGGAAAAGGAAGAAGAACACATACTTGCAGAGTGCACTGGGTTTCCTCCTGCTTAGCAAAAGTCTTACAAAGAACAACTGTCTCAACAAATACCACGGTGCTAACTCCGGTCCTACTTGTCAACAAAACCCCTCTGATGTTGCTCTGCTAAAAGGCTGAGACTTGACTTGACAGAGGATCAGATGAAATTAATTTAGCTTGTCTGGGGTGGAACAGGTTAAGGAACATTCCTGAAGGTTGGTAAACTCGCTGGCAAGCAACTGTTCAAAATTTCAGAAGCAGCAAAAGGACCAAAATCTAGAGGAATGATGAACACTTACTAGCTTCCTAAGAGATGCAAGCAGATCATCCCAATTATTCAAAATTTTTAGCAGTTTTGTCTTGCTTTCGCATTTTTCATTTATAAAAGAAGGGTTGGAGGGTATAGTAATCTAAATATATTGACTTATTGAACTAAATCAGGAGACCTTTTGGATAATGCATGTATTTTCTAACAGATTTCATATTCCTAGAGATAAAAGAAAGCATAGCATACCCTGATTATGACAATGCATAACCATTTTTTGAGTTCTTCACAGATTAAATACTGAGCAAGTTGAACATGCAAAGACAAAGTTATCATCAATTTTAAATAACTTAATCCAAATGTGTCAAATTCACATACATGAGTGCTCTTAGCAGACTGGCTTTTTAGACATAACACCAAAACTCCACTCAAAGCTAAGAAGAGAAGCTCAAATGTAGTGCCATGCTTGGCAAAATCATTCTGTCCAATCAGCTGATGTGCGATCTGCAGAAAAATATTTCTCCATACCCCCTCTAGTGGTTCATCTGTAGGTGAGATTTTAACAATCAAAACACAGGAATGGTTCTTAGAATATGAAGTGGCTTGTTCCAAGCTTTGCTGATCTACCTGAGAAGGGCTGTGAATTAAAAAAATTATTCTTCCAGTGTGCCTATGCCTATACCAAGAAAATCTGTTCAGTCATGCAACAGAAATGGAAACCTGTGGCTAATGTATTTTTTCATATCAAAAGGAAAAAAAGAAAAAATAGAGAAAAGGAAAAAAAAGAAAAAAAAGAAAAAAAGGAAAAGAAGAAAGAGGAAAAGAAAAAAAGAAAAAAGAAGATGAAAGAGAAAGAAAAATAAAAAAAGTGGTTTTTTTGGGCACAATGTTTAAGCAGGCATTGGTGTTTAAAGTATGTCACTCCTTTTGCTTACTTATACTGGTTGGAAGGAAGAGAAATGTGGAAACATACATCCCAGAAGCCACCACTGCCTCATGTCATCTCTTTAGAGCTCTCTTTAGAGCTTTCTTCCACAGTCTTGAGTAAAAAAGTACTATCCAGTAAAAAAAATCCTGCTGTCCTTCCCTTGGGAAATGAAAGGAATGGCTGGAACCTGCTGAACTTGACGAGGTAGTAAAAGACAACTTTTACATTATTCTGAAGCTAAATATCATGACAGTTTAACCAACTTCAGTCTACCCTTTAAAATGTACAACTAAAGGTTAGTCACTTGCTAAAAACTACATTACATCATAAACGATTAATAGCTACTGCTTCACATAAGCATTGCCTGTTAAACAACTTAGACAAGAATTTCTACATTAACTGTTATTTTCTACTCTTGCTCATCTTACAGTAAAATAGGACAATTTGTGGCATTTAAGGAAACACCAGTTTAAAATACAGAGTCATTTTGATATATTTAAGTTTTGTTAGACAATTTCTTAAGAAGATGGAAAATAAAAGGGTATTTAAACTATGGACAAAGTGTCCTCTTCTTACCATGACCTGGGACAGATACTGGATTATCACTGGTCTGCACTAGATATGAGCCGGCAGTATAGTCCTCATCTGTATCAGAGTCCTGAACTGGCTGGCTGGCATTATTACTTAATAACCACCTCTGGTTGTCATGGAGATTGGGTGATGGAGGAGGGGAGTGTAAATGTTCAGTAACTGATGGACTAGATGAGGAGGATGGCATGGGAGGACCTATAAAAAAATAAAAAGCATTTAAAATATGGGTCAAAATACCATATGAAAAACAAATAATTAATTTCTTGTATCAGCAAAAGGTGAATATTCTACTTCAAACAAGAAAAAAAGATGGACAAAGAAAATATGACAACTGCCTGAAATAAACTGGTTTAAGTGTTTTAGAAACCATAACAAAACGCCATGGCTTGATATTTCAATGAACAGTGTTTATCATACAGGATTGCTTCTTTCAGTGGGACACTCCCGTCTAAAATCTACTAGTGAAATAGAGTAATACAAATAAAGCAGGCACAGAGACAGAGAAACAGGACCAGTTTTCCGAGCTCACACATACAGGGAAACTTACTGCTGTAAATTTTTACCACAGGAGTTACTCTGACAGAACTTTTAGTTACCAGCAATGTTTCTCAGACACATATGCTATTTAAAACCTGTCAAAATGTTTCACCTGTCAAACTTGTGTCCATGTGCACAAGTTGTCTTAAAAAATGCATTCACAATGACTACATCCCATTCCTGCATTTTGAAAATATCTTAAAGTCATAATGGAGGAAGACAGATTTAAATAAAGCCTTAGGATATCATTACAATGCATTTAGTCCTTCAATGAGACAATAATTATACCAGAATGCAAGAGACAAAGAATTACCTAATCCACTCAGTGAATACAAAGGTTCTTTATAGTCTTTAGTGAGCACAGATCTTACTCAGAGTAAGATTGCTGGACTACTTTAGAAATAAGTGTTGTTGCCTGTAGGTGGGGAATGTGCCAGAAAATGAAGCTTTATTACATAATTTATGATAAAACCAAAATTAGATTAATCTGCATGGTTACAATTCACAACTATAAATCTAAATTTAAATTAGAGGAAAAGGGGCTTTTTTCATCATATAATGATTTGGTTTTATGGCACTTAGTAGTATAGTTACGCTGCAGAAGTGCTGTGCTTCTCAGTGTTAATAAATCATACTGGCACCAGTAGTTTGAATTACTTTCCCTCCACCTCCCTTGTACACTGCTAGAATCATGCTAATTATTGGTTTTTTTCTTTCACATTCAGTTTATACCATCATATAGTATCTTAAATATCTCTAAAATATGTTAAGTCCTTACCAATTGGCTTCCTTGAGAAGAAACCTATGACAGCCTCACCACAAACTATTTACTTAATACTTCCACATATAATTCAGCCCTTCTTGTAGTGAACAGCACATATCATTATAATTTAAGATGGAGGCTTGGTCCCGGAAGGAAAGTGAGCACTTGCTATTAGTCAAGTAACTCCTGTGTAAAATCCAAGGTTTACAATCAGGGAAATAAAAAGTATGGAGGAATGACATTGTACAGGGCTCAACTTGTGAATTTAGAAGTAGAGAATGGGCACATTTTGTAGTTCGAGATAAAATGCCAACAGGTTTTCTTGCTACACTTTGACTTTTTATATTGCTTGCTTCAGTAACCTGAATTTGTGGTTATTTCTTGATGGAATATTTAATGCATTATTTATGATACACTTCAACTGATTTAAGTAGTAGTTATATTTCATTTTTTGAATAGTTCCAATAAAAAAAGTGGGGGTTTTGTAATATTTATTTTTTATCTTGGAATAAACCTCCTTTACCTGCTTTGGACCTCTCTTAGAGGAGAGCTACAGTAATATGTTCCAGATGTATATGTACTGTTTGAAGCAAGTCAACATTTCAGTAGTATCCTTGGACTTGTATATAACACTTCTCAATATGCTTCCTTTCTCCTTCTCAATTTACACTCATTACCTTTCAGGCATAACAGAGCCCTGATTGCACAAATCACAATCAAATACAAAATATCATGCTGCCTGAAAATGTGTCGTGTCCAAGGTTCCTTAATTGTTTTGTAAACTTCCCCATTTATTCAAATCGATTAATTGTCTCAGTGTGACATGGCTAGCTGACACTGCACCGCAGTGATGAGTAGCCATGCAGAACATGCACCACTTGGTTTACTGAATTTCTCAGTTCAGAACACACCGCGCATCAGGTGTGGGGTGGAAGTGCAAGGGTATTGGCAAAGCTCCCACCACTACACTCAGCAGGGACACATCTCTGCTACTGCAAAAATCAGTTGATTAGGGCTGTGAGACCACCAGGAAGTTATGCAACTTTTAGTAAATAAACCTAATTCCAGCAGGCAGATCTTACAATCGTTGAATCATTTAGGTTGGAAAAGAATTTTAAGATCATTGAGTCCAACCTTAAACTCAGCATTGTCATGTCCATCACTAAATCATGTCCCTAAATGCCACCTCTACATGTCTGTAAAACACCTCCATGAATAGAGACTCAACCACTTCCCTAGGCAGCCTGTTCTGAGTTGTGATCACCCTTAAAGGGAAGAATTTTTTTCTAGTATTCAAGCTAAACTTTCCTGACACACTGCTAGCTCACGTTTTGCTGGCAGTCAACCAGCATCTCCTTTTCTGCCAGACAGCTTTCTAGCCAGTCTTCTCCGAGCCTGTAGCATTGCATGGAGTTGTGACCCAAGCGCAGGATCCAGAACCTGGCCTTGTTGAAACTCAGACAATTGGCCTCAGCCCATTGATCCAGTCTGTCCAGATCCCTCTGTGGAACCTTCTACCCCCCAGTAGACCAAAATTCCTGCCCAATTTGGAGTCATCTGTGAGCTGAACGAGGGCATACTTGATCTCCTCCAGATCACTGATAAAAAATGTGAACAGGATTAGCCCAGAGGAACTCTAGCCAGACTGAGACTAGCCCCAGTACTGAGCCCAGAGGAACTCCACTGAGTAGCCACCAGCTGGTTGCAATTCCATCCACCACCACCTCTCTGGGCCTGCCCACCCAGTTTTTAACCCAGCAAAGAGGACACCCATCCACACCATGGAAAGCCAGGTTCTCCAGGAGAATGTTGTGGGAGAAAGTGTCAAGAACTTTAAGTCTTGGTAGACAACACCCACAGCCTTTCCCTTATCCACTAAGGGGGCCAGTTTGTCACAGAAGGAGACTGGGTTGGTCAGGAAGAACGTGCCTTTTGTAAACCCCTGCTGGCTGGGCCTGATCTCCTGTTTGTCCTGTACACGTTGCATGATGGCACTGGAGATGATCTGCTCCATGACCTCCAGGCACTGAGGTCAGGCTGACAGCTCTGGACTTCCCTGGAATCTCCTTCTGGCTCTCCCTGTAGGTAAGTGCCACATTATCCAACTTCCAGTCACCTGGGACATTCACACTGCTGCTGGTAAATGACTGGAAGTGGCTTGCTGAGCCCTTCTGCCAGCTCCCTCAGTACCCTGGGGTTGAGCCCCATAGATTTGTGGGTGTCAAAGTTGCATAGCAGGTCATTGACTACTTCTTCTTGGATTACAGGTGTTTGTTCTGCTCCCTGTTCCTGTCTTCCAGCTCAAAGGGCTGGGGATCTTGAAGCCAACTGGTCTTACTATTAAAGACTGAGGCAAAGAAGTCATTAAATTACCTCAGATTCTTCCTCATCCTTCCTCACTGTATTTTCCACCTTCACCGAATAAAGGATGGCTATTCTCCCCAGCCCTCCTTTTGCTTTCTTGTCACAAAGTTACATGGCCTGCAGAGAAAAGGGAGCCAGCTATACTTTGAGCCAATTTTTCACAAGAACCCTAGGCCAACCAGCTGGGACACCTATTTCTGTAAAACTTCATCCAGAACCAGCAGATTTTTGCAGTGAGCTCCTCTTTGATTCCAAGTGAAAAGACAGATAGCTATCTATACTGCCATTTATAGAATAAGCTACACATTAAGGAAAAAAATACTTAAAACACTTTCTAGAGGAATCGTAAATGATGTGCATATTCCTTTCCAATTCTTTTTTTATATGGAATGAAAGGCATTTAAAAATATTTGGCAATATCACCTCTTGAAGTCTGTACAAACTCATTTGTAAATAATAAAAATAATTAAGTATAACAAAAGCCAATTAGATTGATTATAACACTTTTTCCATACAGCTTAGAAGCATACAACACTAAGAATATTTCATTCTAAGAAAACTCAAAAAATACTACTTCTGATTTTCTCCCCATTCTGCTTCTTTTGGTATCCACCTAGCAAAACATTTGGTTCTTCTGCTTTGACTTTCATGCCTGAATTTTAAAAAAGCAAAAGTTCTTGTTTTTAATATGTGAACTTGATTCAACAATAAGATATTTTTTCACAGGCAAATATACTGGACTTAAGAGTACTTAAATCTCATGGTTTAGGTCAGTTATGAGGAAAAAGACCCTTTATTTTGTTAGCATTTTCATAATTGAAAACATATGACTTTAAATGACCTTTCTGGTCTTCAAAAAAATTATCTTATGTGAAGATGCAAAATACAGCCAAACTCCAGCAAGAACAGATTTAATATAGCAATATGTGAAGAGATGAATACATTTGCTAAGGATATGAGTCCCCAAAGAAAGTAAAACACAATGAAAATAGGTTGTAAGAAGAACATTAAAAAAGAAATACACCTGAGCTAATAATGGATACATTAAATACATATGTACAAAGCAATTACATTAAAAAATCTGCAGTGTTTTCTGCCACAATCAGCACTGATTTAAAACGTGGCACAAATGACAAGTTGGAAGCAGAACTGATGTCACATATTGAAAAGTTCAGTGGAACAAGTATGGTAAGTGCAACCCATAAAAAGATAGCAAATAAATAATGGGGAAGACTGCAACAATGGACTGGTAGTAATGTACAGAAATTTCTATTTTAAGTACATTAAGGCTCAACTAAGTCTAAAGCTGAGCCTCTGTCAATTGGTGCTACCCAACTTTCCCAGTTTACAGTTATGTACAAGTTGCCTTTCCTTAAAAAATAAAAAAGGAAGAAGCTATTCACAGCATTTAAGCTTATTTACATGGTATTACAAAGAATGAACCCAACAACTGCTCAGCTTTCGTCCTCTATGGGTCACCAGCTGCAAGAGAAACACTTTGCTTCAACACCACTGAGTGCCTGGATGAACT